ACAGAGATATCAGCACCTGAGTGCAAATCCAAACATACTTTGTTAACACGACCAGTAATCATTTTACAACAACAATACCGACGTCGCGAACAGCTGTGCTAGCCGGAACAGGTCAACGGCCACAACACCTACTTGTGGACCCTGCAAGGCACTAGACAGAGGAGAATAACAGCCGACGGGAGCACAACAGCGTGGGAGAGGATAGCATCCACAGCAGCGCTGTCAGAGGGAGTAACACCAGTAAGAACAGTGGAGACTAGCGCTCCAACTACACCACCGATCAGCAGCGACAAGAGCAGAGGAATATCCCAGCGCCGGGGAACTTGTTGGTTTAGTATTCTTGTGTTCCAATACACATATACATACAAACATAGATAGGTAGTGTAATTGGAGTTCGTTTTTTTTACCCCCGGCTACTCCGCGATAGTTTTTTTATTATAATTATTTTCACAACTTTTTTTTGTTAGCGAGTTATTGGATTTTCTTTTCTGCATTTCACTTTGGTTTCTATTTTGGATTTCTTTTTCAAACTCGCTAACTTTTCGACAATAGATTTCAATTGTTTTACCGATCGCTATTGTAAATTCACTTGAAAAATTATATTCCTGGAATTCACCAGCTTCTTTGGATGGGCACATTTCTTTATTTTTTTTTTACCTAAACTACCACGTCCAAAGATTCGCGTTGTGTTTGCGGATCGAACTTTTCATCCGAAGGTTTAGTTTACCTAGCATACGATACAATTCTTGCATTTAGCTAATGGTTTCTTTTGATATATTTAGTTTTAAATCTTAGCTTAGCACTTTTCCTGTTTTGTTTTGCTTGCCGTTTATAATTTTGCACGTGATGACCCGCTCGCTGCCCCGTAACACGAGCGAGTGATAGTAATATCAATAGAGAAGTAGGTTGATACCCCAGCTCCTTAGCTGCAGGCGTACATATGTATGTATGAATAGTTATTGGTATATGTATATAAAATTCTCCACAAACAGGTGCTCAACAGGGTGCTGGTACCATCATCGCTGGAAGCCAAAGTGAGTACAACAAATTTCTTTGTTATACATATGAATACATATATTTATGGTATTTGCATACGTACGTTTCCATTATTCTTATACATATGTACGTATATACGTACATAAATGCCTAGCTAGAAGTTTAATTGATCCCGCGGTTTTTTTAGGTTTGAGGGTTTGAAATTTTTTTATTGAGTATTTTTGAGTATGTTGCGTAAACAATAATAGCAACAATTCATTGTCGGCAAAATAGGATTGGCAGAACTGATTTGTATTAAATTAGATACAGGAACGATAGTAGGGATTTCTATACATTGTAATATTGAGGTGATCGTTTTTTTTTGGGTTAAATTCGTAGAAATACATCAGTGAATTTTTAGGCTAGATTTAAGGTATGGGAAGTACTATCAGAATTTGCATCCATTGTAACAGTAGGGTGATAGTTTTTTGAGATAAATTTGCCTAAATATCTGTATAAGTGAATTTCGAAGCTAGACTTAAGGAATTTGAAATACTATAGGCATTTGTATCCATTATAATATTAGCGTAGTAGGTTTTCTTTCTGATAGAGTTATTGGCCTGAAGTTTCATTGTTATAGCTAGATTTAAGGATTTCGAAAACTGTAAGAATAAAAATGGTGTGAAAAATAGAATTTGATGCTAGCTTTTGAAATTAAGATGGAGTGCTAGGCACAAGTATTTGGTGTGGGTGTTGCACTTGTGCAATAGAGGGGAAGTGGGAGTGGACATACAGATAAGACTATGGACTAGACAACTACTGATCTTCAAATAGACGGACGAATGTCAGGTTTAGGGGGCGTCGTAAAGTAGGTGAGGAGTCACGACGACGCCCAAGGCTTCACGTGGAGTTCCCGTTGAAGAAGGGTGGGATGACTCCACCTGACAGGACGGGACTGGACCTTTTTGTTCATTTCTATTTCCCCCTGTTTTTCTTAAGTTGTTTATCTTTCGTGTTGTTGTCTCCCGTAGAAACTATCAGGCATGATTAACTTTTTTTGATTATGTAGCTAACAGCAAGGCAGGCGGAAATGACCCACCCCGACGACGAGCTAGCTTGGGATGCAAGCATGCCTGCAGGCCGCCTCGCCTGG